ACACAATAAACATGATGGAAACACAGCAAAAAGAAATTGATGTTACTGCTACAGAGGCCTCGGAAACCTCAGAGCCGGCGGGTGGGAGTGGTTCGTCCCACAAGTCGTTATCGGTAACCACGGGAACACGGACGGAAAAAAGACAGACGACGCGAGGCTGGCGTCGTCAGTGGCAGGCAAGCTATAACACAATAAACATGATGGAAACACAGCAAAAAGAAATTGATGTTACTGCTACAGAGGCCTCGGAAACCTCAGAGCCGGCGGGTGGGAGTGGTTCGTCCCACAAGTCGTTATCGGTAACCACGGGAAATGCTCAAACGCCACGGAAAAATGCACCAGATGGAGATAACGATACGCACGAGGGAGGAGCTCAAGACCCCAAGAACAACACACCAACGGCGAGTAGCCAAAACCCAGAAGGTTAGTTTATATTGTTAATATAATATTTGGATTTATTAAATTATGATTTTAATTTACGGAATAATAATATACTCAATTTCACATTAAAAACAAATAAAATAAAAACAACAAACATGAAATCGTGACACTTCGTTCTTAGACGCCAAGCCAAGCTTATATACGCTATCTTATCATATAAAGCTGAGCTTGCTCTTTGAAACTCTCAAATCTTTTTCATTCTCTATTGCAGAGTATTCAGTTGTTGTTTTTTTTTGTATTAGTTTAATATAAATTAGATTTATTTGGTTATTTAATTGGTATTAATTAGTTTTTTTCCGTTTTATCTGTTCTATGTGATTACCTACCTACTTACAGTTTTCAATATACAGTATGAACGAGAAAACTTTAGGAAACGGTACGTGCGGGTGCAGAAAACTCTAGCCGAGTTGTGCATCGAAGAATACGTAAGTATAATTTGATATTATATAGAAAAACGCTTCTGCAAGCCCCCCCCCCCGTGTGTGTTACACGTTTGTCGACGAATTAACTATGAATAATTACTAACTTTAATGTTTATTTAATTGCAGGACGACAATCTCTTTTTCTTTTCTTTGTTGTTGATCGTAACCGTAGTTTTTACGTTTGCTATGGCGTGCTTGGCGCTGATACTCTGCCTGTTGTGCGCAGGACTCGCGATGACTGCGTTCATCGCTAACATCGTGAGGAGTCCTGCAGTGCAACAGGCATTGAGAAACCGTTTTCCGGGAGCCGCTGGAGAGAAGGTGTCGCGTTGCGTGTCCGTCGCGTCGGACTGCGCGATACTGGGGACTGCGACATTAACGTTCGGGATTTGGTTGGTCGCCCAGTCCATCGGCACCGTCATGTTCCTGGCGGTGGAGTTTATCGGGCCCTCCAGCCGTCAGGAACAGCTGCAGACGCCGCCGTTGCCTGCCGCCGGAAGTCCGGTGGACGACACTCCGCTGCATTTGAACGGCGTCGAGGAGCCGTCAACCGCACGGACCGACACCACGTAAGTGCATTTACCTATAGGTATAATCAGAAATTAAATAATGTTTTTTTTATATTACCGATAGACCAATTACATTTAAATATTGGAAAAAAAGATATACCTTATTCACGAAATTTGACCAGGGTATTCTGATGGACGAGGGTATGTAAAAAAAAAACATTTATATATATATGTATCATATCATGTTAAAAATAAAAATAATATATATTATAATCGTATGTTTGGTTTTATAGAGAGCTTTTATTCGGTCTGTCCCGAGATTCTCACCAAATATATGGCAGAAAAGTGTGGCCGAGTAAAAGTGGCCGTGGATCCGTTTTGCGGCGCCGGCGGAAACATAATTCAGCTTGCCCGACTGTTCGACAAAGGTACTGTAATATTTTTTGCATTAATAATAAATAAAACCGTTTTCGTGGAAATAAAAGTGAACATATTATTATTTCTACTTAATTTTAATTAGCGAAATGTAATAATTATTGTCTATAATGTACCTACCTATATATAATAAAATATTATAACAACTATAGCTGTCCCGCCCGACGGTGTCCAGGCCAAAAATTTGTATTTTTAATAAATATATTTGTACAAATTGTATATTATACCACACATTTCTTCTAATTATAATACTAATAAAATATGTAACAAATTGTGCAACCATTTAGATTGACAAAAATAATTTATTTTTTCGTATGCTAAAAAAAATCATGTGTGCGCTACCCTTTACCTATCTACAGCCTATATGAGTTGAAAAATCAAGCTCTATACACCCTCCAATTTTCAAGTAATAATCTATTGAAATAACTTTTATTGGCTTATTTAAAACCTTCCAAGTAACTCAACCGAGTTCTTTTCGAGATATGCTCGTACGTAAAAAATTAAGGTACAGTGTTTCTCTACAATATATGCATGTTATATACATATAAACCTTCCTCTTGAATCACTCTATCAGTTAATTAAAAACCGCATCCAAATCCGTTTCGTAGTTTTAAAGATCTAAGATTTCAGAGAAAAAAAGGGACTTTGTTTTATAATATTATGTTAAGATATATTAAGTACCTGTTATCTGCAATTTCTAATAATTGTAATATTTTCTGTTTGTAATAGTCATTGCTGTAGATATTGACGCCAACAAAATTATGATGGCCAAGCAAAATGCCCGGATTTATGGAGTTTTCGAAAAAATCGAGTTCGTTGTTGGAGACTTTTTCAAACTGGCAAATCAGATTAAGGGTGACGTTATAGTCACATCGCCACCATGGGGCGGTCCAGAATATAATAAAATGGATGTTATCGGGCCGTTAGATTTGTGTGTGGATAAGATTCTGGAAGTGGGGAAAACGATTGCCCCAAAAATACTGTTACATCTGCCAAAAAACCTAGATAAAAATGAGGTTTGTACATCATTCAGTTTAAATATAAATTGTTATTTATTTATGTGGAACAATAATTTATATTTTAAATGGCTATAGTGTTGGAAAATGTGCAACGGAGTTGGTGCCGGCTTACGGAAGATCGAAAATGTGTTTATGGACAGGTACCTCAACTCGACGTTGCTGTATGTCCGATCCAATAATGTAAGTTATAAGTCTAAAAGCATAGTAAAAAAATAATTAATATAGTACCTACCTACTTAATTAATTTAATATACCCGAAAGTACCTGTGCATAACAATATTATAATAATGTATTATTTATGTTCGAAATCATTAGAACAATGCCGTGACAGACGTCGCTCCCAAACCGGTCGACATCCATCTGTATAACTGTAAGTTGAAAATGTCTATATTTAAAAATTGTTATATTATAATATTTATCTAATCAATTAATTTTCTTTAGCATTCCGGAGGAATGAAAGGTATAGTTTAAAAACTTACCAAAGTTATTTGATGGATGTCGATGCGTTGGTGAGCAGTCGTCGCGCATCTTTGTGATGCAAATACGGCAAGTTATTATTGGACCGGGCATAACATTACGTTGAGGAGTTACCTGTTCAAGAACACATTTTCAGATCAGTAGGCCAATAATTCCGTTGCCATTTTTTAATCATTCCTCGTTTTTTATTAAGGTTAAGATGTAACAGGATTTTAGGGGCTATTGCCTTTCCACTAGCTTCCAGGATTTTATCATACACACAGCCGACAACCCGATGACATACATTATTTTATATTTTGGTCCACCTCATGATGGCCGGGAAGTAACGGTAACGTCACTGTTTATCAGATTGTCCAGTTTGAAAGAGTCGCCAACAATTTCGTCCATAAATCCGTGACATAGCGCTGGGCCAGCATAATTTTGTCCGGATCAATATCTACAAAAATGAAATCCCAACTATTAGAAACTAATAATATAGGTACTTATTATTATATATTATAATATAATATTAAACCCATTTATACTCAATTATTCCTTTGCAGTTATTACGATTAAGTAGAAATAATATTTTCAAATAATATTACAGTCGAACAGTCTGCTACAGTCATACAGTCAGCTGTATGAAGTTTCCACTGCGCCACAAAACGGGACGAGGCCGGTCGCTGAACATGGGAAGTCCTCAAGTCCGTGTCTTGCCAAGTCCACCCAGCATCGTATTTTATTAGCTGTTGGACCGGTGGATATGCGGTTAACACTTGTCAGTTTATCACCATTTATTAACACGTGGCTCTAATACACTTTTCTCACATTCGTATAAAATGTATTAGTTATTATACATAATATTACATATTTACATGTATCACACTATATTATATTATATTGTTCTATGATATTATATATTATTTATACAAATGTAAACAAACATATATAATCCTATATTATACATGCATATTATTCATGAAAATCTAGTTTGTATAAAATAATTATAATAATATCATATTTTATGTTGTACCAATAAAAAAATATGTATGAAAACAAAAGGTTTATTTAAAATATCTATTCTATTACACCCTGTATATAGTTATTATTAGGGCTCAGATTATATATCTATTTATATAACCAAAGTATGTATTTATATACAACAAAAATATGTACATAAATATGGTCAAAGAATTAAAAATATGTAAGTATTATCAAAAAAAAAAAAAAAAAATAATCAATTGCTATCGATTTTTTACAAGCAGTAAGTACAATACAAAACGTGGCCTTCACTTTTTAAATGTTCATTTGGATATTCAGAAACACATTTTATTGCTTTGCAAGTCTTAGACGCAGGGCCGAATTTAAACATTATGGGGCCCAGGGCAAAAATATTTTGGGGCCCTAAATGATCCATAACAAAAATTGCATACCTACCTAAACTTATTTCATGCGTAAAATATATTTATAGACTATAGTTACAACTAAAAATAACTATTTATGTTAAATAAATTGAACAAGTCATACAGTAATATATTATTTATTTTATTAATAAAAAAATATAATCTATGGCTAAAATGTATTTAATTAAATATATATGTATTAATAAACTGTACCAAAAATTTGTATTTATATTTTTAATAAAGAAAATAGACAATTAAAAGTTAAGATTATTATTACAGTCATTAACCTATTATGTTTACATAGAAAATAGAATATTATAAATTGCATACTTTTCTTGATTTCTTTTCTGCAAAGTCATCTGTAATATCATCAAATGACAGATTATCCAACACATCACTTTCAATGCTCATAACTGATAAAAAGTTCAAACGATCTTCATTCATTGTAGTTCGTAATCTATTTTTTATAATTATCAATCTTGAAAATGTGCGTTCACTACTACAAATGGTGACCATAATTACTAAATACATGCGTAATGCGATTTCAACATTTGGAAAAGCTGATATTACGTCTTTTTCAATTAAAGTTTTGTACATAAAATGCTCATTACTCATTTCTGTTGGCTTGGAATAAAGTTTTATAAATTCAGAAACATGAATTATTTCAACACACATCAATTAGTCTAAGTCGTCATCGTATACAGCTACAAGTTTTTTAGCTGCTTCTTGTAATTCTTCGTTGCTAAGATTATTTAATTGTCCAAAAAATCCAAAACGATCACATATTACTTCATATGCTTTAAGTTTTTGACTTATTGCTGATGACATTTGATCTATAACAGGCAAAAAATATTCTACTTTAAATTTTTCTGAATGATTTAGTTGTAAATCAGGACCTTTGCCATAATCTAAAGGATTCAATCGAATATTAAGTTTACGAGATCGTTTTTTATTATCATTATATTCATTTGATTTTGCCTTTTTTCTCAAACATTGAGAAACCATCGCGTTGAGCATCAATAAAGCACTTTAATGACTTGATAGATGCAACAGCATTATTAAGGTCTAATGTGGGAGCTTGAAGAATTTTATTAGTAGCGTTGAAACGATCCAGAACTTCGTTCCAAAATGCACAATATACACCTGTTTCTAACTTACACATCTTGTTGTATAGTCCGTTTGCTTCATCACGTGTTTTTGGTAACTCATTTAAATTATTAGATATACTGTCAAGAGTCGATTTTATTTGAGAATATCCATGAAATAATGCTTTAGTTGCGTCAGATCGACATGACCAGCGAGTGGTAAAAATTCTTTTTGGTATTTGTATTCTGACAGTTTTGTCGGTGGATTGTAAATTTTTTTTTAATTCATCATAACGATGTGTTGATGCAGTAAAAAAGTATATATAGCTTCTAAAAAATTAAAAAAAGATATAGCAGATGAACAACATTCAGCAGCAACTTTGCCAACTAAATTTAAGGAATGGGCTGCACATGGAACCCATGTTGCTAACTTGTTTACAGCAATTATTTTGCTTTGGAGACCATTGTATTTACCACTCATAGCTGACGCGTTGTCATATGATTGACCTCGGCAATTATTTATTTCTACACCATTATTTTCCAAAACTTTCATTATACTATTAAACATATCTTGTGCCTTATGTCCTTGATTAGGTAAAAATTTTAAAAATCTTTCAACGGGTTTAGAGCCTTCCATGAACCGAAATACTACAGTTAGTTGATCGACGTGACCTTCATCAGGTGTAGAATCTAGAGAAATAGAATAATATTTTGATATTTTTATGCGTGTCACTATCGCATTTAGAACTTGATGGCCCATACATTGTATTAACTGTTCACAAATATTTGATGACAAATAATTAGTGTGACCACTCCCACAATTCCCTTTTTCTTGAATGTGCTTTTTCAAGAAATCGTCATATTCTGCTAAGAGTTCAAGTAAACCAAGGTAGTTTCCATTACTTTTAAATCCTACTAGTTCATCATCTCCTCTTAAAGCAAATCCACGTTTACATAAAAATTTAATAACACTTATAAGTCTGGTCAAAATTGTTTTCCAATATGATTGGTAGAATGGTCAAAAGATAGGTATGTTTTGACTAAAATAACTGCACGTCACCGATCCCCTTAATATCCATTCTCTTATTATTATAATAAATTTATAAAGATAAATTTATATATAAATATTTTCTACTTCGTATAGATTATTAAAATTATTTAACTTTAAATTTATTATAAATATTACTTACTTAAACAATTGAACAGTACAGGCTCATGAGTATTCTTGGCTGATCATAATGAAGTAACGAGATTTAGTCGAAAAGTGGAATGTACAAAATAATAAATAATTCACAATAAAGGCATAAACGCTATAAACAGCGATAAGCCGATAACGATTATAGACGTCTTGAATTTTCCAACATTTTACATTGTGATTTGTGACAGATTACATTATGATTTTTATATATACTCGTATAAACATACACATGTAATTATATAACCCGCAACTTTACGTCACCGTGATAATGCAATAACAACGACTGTAGTATACTACAGTCATTACCCCATAATGTTTAAATCCAGCCCTGTACTGTAGTACAATTTAATTTATATTTTATACCTAATTCATTTTTATTTTCAAAACTATATTTTTTTTTAAAAATATAGTTTGAGAACCCAAAATTTGGGTTCCAAATTGTAATTTTATTTTTTTAATTTTTTAATTTTTTTTTTTTCATTTCTGATTCGAGTCTCGGGGGCCCCTAAAACTTGGGGGCCCGGAACATATGCCCTTAATGCCCCCCGTCAAATCCGGCCCTGCTTAGACGATCGTACTTTTGGCATAACCTATTGGTAATAAGCATGTAAAATATAACGAAAACTGAGGCCACGAAACTCACACTACGATGTCACATTAAAAACTACAGCAGTGTTCACTCGTTCGTGTCCAACGTGTTTAAATATGTGTTAATCGCAATATATTACGATAAGATATCTCATATTTCAAAAATCGTATCTAGAAATAATTGAAAATATAACAGGTTGAGTTCGACGGTCGTTTGTCACCGAGGAACCCTTATTTAGTCAAGTCAAAAATACATCCAGTGGACCTGAACTCTGAAGAGAAGACGCTAAAACAGTAAAATTGTCTAAATATGTGAAAAAAATTGTGAAATATGTAAAAACATGTATTTATGACGAAATATGTAAAATCAAATGTAGCTCATTTTATCAAAATCTTGTGAATCGAATTTATCACTTGCCGAAATTAGTTTATCATGTCGCAGAGAAAATATGTATTTACATATAAATCCGAGCCCTAGTTATTATAGTATTACCGAGGATTTTCTGAGCTCTTGAGCCCAAAATTGTTGGTGGAAATAAACAATCATCTTCTACGTATAAGTAGGTATGCAATATATAGGTAATAAGAAAATAACCATCGTATAATCTATATTTGGATATAAGGATACAAGTTCAACGAATGCATTTTCGATGTCATGTGGTGGTACGAATTGCAACCCGAAAAATAGTCTTAACCATATTTCTAACTCGTCGCAGTAAGTATAATAATATGCTGTTCTAAGTTGCTGCTCCGAATTTATCTGTAAAGTTAGGTAATACATTTAATATTATAATTTTACTATGTGTATATTTATAATATATTTTAAGCATAATCTTCAATGATTTTTTCATAATTTAAATGTTCTCGAGCTCTTTTTATAAAGAAAAGCCAGGAAGACGCTCTTGGGACGTGATACTTCTCAAATAAGTTTCTATAAGTTCTAACTTCTGCGCTAGCTGAAGTTATTAGAATAGCTAACATATTATTTATTCTAAGAGCCGCGGCTGAGTTTGGAAAAGCTGAATTGCTTTTTTTTTTATAAAATTAAGTAGGTACTTCAATAGGAGTTACCGATTTATCGAATAAGTTTTGGCAAATCAAAATTCCTTTTTTTTTGTGAGTTGTATGCGTTTTATCTATATTACGCGTGCGTCTGAGAGAGAAAACACAAATTGCGCTGACGTCGTCTCTTATAGTTAGTCTTTCGAGAATTTGCAACTACAAGTATTTAATTAGGGGCCTCAAATTTGTCCATTACTTTTTAATTATAGGCTATAACACTACATAAATCACATAAAAAAATCGATGATTATTTAGCGAGGAAAAAAGCTTGTAAATTATAATTTACTAGCTGATCCAGGGCACTCCGTTGCTCGTTAAATGTACCAACTCTTTATGACTCAAACTCTGTTCAATTCGTTATTTAATATTGGGTGTATGGTGTTCAAAGCTTATCTTAACTTTTTCGTTGCCCAGAATAAAAATTCTGATTCGCAGCAGTATATTAATATATATTATATTAGTATATTAATTATCAGGTAAGCAATCTACCTGTATGGTGGATCCCGGACCCCGTGCTGTTTGTACGTAAGTGTATGATTTAACTCTAGAGTGTCAAAGACTAAAGTTATACTAAGTTTATCGTTTTTACTTAATTCCACTTACGGTGGATTAATATAATCTTTTTTTTTTGAAACATACTTATTTCAACATGTTAAGAACGGTGGTCCAAACAAAATGTTTCAGAAATCATTATTTTGGAAGTTATATAGCGATTCGTTTGTATACGCACGCGTACAACACTGTACTTTGGATGAAAACTATTTATAGTCAAAATTTGACATTCAGGCTTAGTTTTAAATAGTTATAGCTAATTGAAATTAATAGTATTTTCATATACTGCAACCGTAGCTTTCTCGGACAATAAAAATCGAAAACATCCCTCAACTATTGTTATGTGAACAACTATACCTACGCATTGATATACCTATAATACGTATTTGTAATCAAATACGATATTTTTTAACCATAAATTATTTTTTACCGTAATGAATATATAATTAAAATCGAAATAGTGAAAACTCTAAATACCGGACACTCTATATTCAAAGGGTTCAGTTCGAAGGAAGCTTGTAGTCGGTTCCTAAGAAAACGTCAGCTATTTGGAGGTGTCCGCTATTTAGAGGTTCCGTTAGAACAGGTTTCACTGTATTTTTTAGTCATAAGTTTATTTGTATTACCTATAAATTTAATGCTATATTTTTGTACTTGCGATATGCCACTACTGCCACGGCATTATAATATTATTATTTATTATAATATATGCACTCGTTCTTTATATAGAAATGTAATTAATTATTTTTGTTTCACAGGTGAATCTATAGGTAGTCTACTGGGCGGATATTTACTATCGATACATATGGTGGAGTGTGGTCGTTTCGATTTTTCTCCTATATGTCTGTTCTGATGTGCTTTCTGAGCATAGTAACCAATTATTTTGGATTGACAAGGGAATCTATTACCTCAAAAGACCACGCAGAATCGACGAATATGGATCTCAAAATTACCAATAATAATACTGACAAAAAAACGTGATATTTTATTTATGAAAACTGTAGTGGACATATTTGATAAAAATGTCATATTTAATTATAACTAAATTTAATGTTTATACGAGCTGAGTAGCGCATGTGACATACGGGTACACAGCAGAATGTTGGAATACTGCTCTCCGCTCATTTAAATTTGAATACTTATCAATATTATAAAACTATATGTATTCGATTTAATGATTTATATAGCTATATGCGTTGAAAAATTTGATTTTCGAGCTACAAAACATTCGGAAAAATATTTTTGAAATATTTCCGCTGCATAGGAATATTAATTAAATTGTATGTCAAAGTGTATAACTTATATTTGAGTACAGATAGGGTACGTCATGTCGAATTTCTGTATCCACTGATAGCTTTATCATACTATTATCGATACTCATACATTGTGTAGATTTTAGTGCACGATACTTACATCAATAGTTTTCCGAACTCTTCAAAATATGACGTGTAAGAACTATATGATCTGGTCGTGTATTGTGCAGTCTAAAAATCACAAACTCGAAAGAGTAGTAGACTATGTACCGACCATCCTGCCGTGACCTGTGATATTAATAATATCTAATTATTAAAAAATTATTATTTTTGTATATATAATATGTATAAATTGTATGTAAAAATGTAATAATAATGTAATTTACTGTCAGACCAATGGCCGGAGCTGCCGCGGTCTTTTATGTCTAAAAAAAAAAAAATATCTAATTGAAAGTGTTCAAAAAAACAAAACACTAAAATACACTTTTCAGATTATATCCGTGATGAATTAGGCGATGCTAAGGCTATTATCTAGTAGGTACGCATAATAATATTGTTTCCAGCTGCAGTACCTAGGTAGTTGTAATCGAATACAACATTTCGAGACATTCGTACAAAATGTGTAAATAAAACTAAGTGAAACTCACTATAATATCTAATAATATTGTAACATTTATGTTTTATAAGTGTGAATTTATTACAATGTTTACACACAAAACAGAATATACAAAACTAAGACCGTCTGTTAAAGGTGACCGCCGACCGTATTATTATTATTTTGGAAATATCTAATGAGAATTAATTGTTATCATATAATAATGATATTACGGTTGTCGGTTCACAGTCGCAGTTTTTTTTTTAAAGCACTTATCGATCGATTGTATTTATTAATAATATTGCACATTTTATAGATAGATTATTGTACACCAGAAACGGTTTGACCGTTCAGTTGCTGCACAGCAATCAACAACTACTGTAAAATTTATATATTTTGCGCTACACCACACATTATGATAATATATATTTTCTACAACATTTTGTATTAATAATGAGCGTAATCCTTTTACAAAATCATTGCATAATGCATATTAAATACATCGTCATGAT